TTTTTTTTTTTTTTTTTTGAAGTTCGACTCGCAATGGCTGCCCTTTCCTACCCATTTCGAATTCTTCGTTCTTACTCAACAGGTTCGTATGTTGTTTCTTTTGATTATTAGCATTGTCGTTTTCTTCTTCTTCATGCATTTGGGTTTTGTATATTTAGTTTAATTTTTTACTTTATGCAAATGAAATGGAACAGAATTGGAGCCTCTATTAAAATCATAAACCAGGTTCTGTATGTTTGTGATTCTATGTGCTTGGTTGGTAATTGTTATAGAAATGAATTGTAAGTCCTAAGTCTATGTACTATAATTTTTTGGATTTATCTTCTGAAATTATATCCTGGTTTTTTCTTGGACTTTACTGTGATTCGGGGTTGAAATGAATTGTAAGTCCTAAGTCTATGTACTATAATTTTTTGGATTTATCTTCTGAAACTTTTTTCTTGGACTTTACTGTGATTCTGGGTTCTTCTGTTCATGTTTCATTTTCTTTCTCTACTTTATTTATTTATTTTTGGATAAGAAACGAAATTTTTATTAAAAACGGTGGAAAAGTACATCTGAACTTGATATACTTATTTCTGCAGCATTGGATCATTGTTACTTTTCAAGAGACAAGCTTGCTATTTATGATATTATGGTTTCATTTAACTGAACTGAGCTTTCACCCTGAAAAATTAGAGTCTGCTTCTTATAGTAGTGATCCTTCTATTAATAGGGAGTGGAAAAAGAAATTTCTTTTGTCATGATCACATCAAAATGCGAAGAAAGGTGAGTGAGCAGAGTTCAGTTAGAGCTTTTTTGTTGTTGTTGTTGCTGATTTTATTGCCCCATGAGAATGTAAAGCAATTATTGGTGCTGAGAATCTACTTCTTATGGTATTGATGCTCTGTTAATTGGGAGCAGAGGGAGAGAACTTATTTTTGTCATTTTTATAGATAAATATGGAGAAAGTTGAACTCACAAGAATTCTAATTAACTTGCCCTTCCTTTTGAAATTTAATAGGAATCTGGGAAGGATAGTCAGGAGAAGAAAAAGAACCATATCAAGGCACTTCCTGTAATTAACTTGTCCGAATTTTGTTTCTTGGTATTTTCTTGTTGTGCAAACTGAAGCGGATTTCGTTTGGATCTAGATTTTACTATCATGTTTTATTTTTAAGTTCTTGGATAAGTTGGTGGGTAAGTGCATCTACATAACCCACATTCTATTGTTTTGTCAGATCTGGGATACAGCTGGCTATGAACGATTTTAAAGCCTTGGTGTAGCTTTTTACTGTGGGGCTTGTTGTTGTGTTTGTAAGTTCTTTCATGCCTTTATTCAATAACACTAACCTTGGTCAGACATAGCTTCGGTAGGTAAGATAGAAATCTTATTTTCCTATGCAGTCCTTAAACTCTCTCTCTAATGGGGTGAGATTTCTGAATGAGTAGGTAATCGACTGCTAGGAAGGGACCTCTACTTATATGCATTTTCTTAAGTTTCCTGCCCATTAAGAAACACTTAAGTAATCCAATTTGCATTAGGGTAGGTTGTTTTAATCCATATGGAATTAGGAGTTCTCTAGGTTGTTGTTTCCTATTAAAACACTCAATGGAAAAGAACTGCAGATAATGTTCAAGTCTATACTCCTAGATCAGTGCAAACTGCAGAGTCCTTATATGATTAGAAGACCATAATCATGTAAGACAAGATATTGTCTTACAGTGTTCTTGTCTATGATGTTAATTCAATGAAATCATTTGATAACCTTAACAACTGGAGGGAAGAATTTCTTATTCAGGTATGTTTTGGGGTTTTTATTTTGTGTGTGGCTATTTTCTTAAGAATTGCATCACTTACAAACCCTTCCAATCGTCGTTTCTTTTTTCTGGATCAGGTTTTGGTTGTTTATCAAGTACAATACCAAAATCTGGTGAGATGCTAGTTACCATAGATGCCTATTAAGTTCTGAAAGGAATTATCTCCTTATGTTGATTTTTCATGTAATATCTCTTGAAGGAATTGCATAATAAACAAGAATGTGAAGATAGGAAGAAACATGGTTATCACAAATACTGATGTTAGTGCTCCTTCTTTTGAAATTTAAGACTTGAAATGCTCGTGCAACTTAAAAGAAATTTGAATTATTTCTGACTTAAAAAATTGCTGGACAAAATGCTTTGAACATGGAGTTGTAGAAGCAGATGTGGCAATGGAAGGATTTTATATTCGGTCTGGAATCAGAGCCATACTGAAGAATGCAACCATTAAAGATGGAACTGTCATTTAAATCCATCAATTTACTACAGCGTACTTAGATTGAGCCTTGGTGACAGTACCTTGATGAATTTCCTCATGTGTGCTTTTACTAAATTTGGATTCTGGATGTTATATTTATGTTTAAAGTAAGTGCAGTTCTATTTTGTATCCATCATTCTGAAACATTAACTTGAGTATGAGTTAGGCGGCATGCATATTTTGTATTCTATTTTGTATTTTTATTTCTAGGGTGGAGGGCTAACATTGCCAATGTATTAAAGTTCATATTATATTTTAGAATGTGAAACTTGGAAACCTGAGCTTATGTATGGAAACATAAACCCAAGATCACTTGAGAGCACACCAAAGATCTGGACCAATCAAACTGACACCCCATTGGTGATGACACAAATTTTTTTTTGGCAACATTCATATGACAACATTTTTTTTCTTTTGTTTTGCCAAGATCTAATATATTTTTGGCAACTAATTCAGAAATGTATACAAAGTTGCATCCTTTACGCAAACTGATTCAACCCATTGGTGGTCTTGATCTGATATTCTCAATATATATGCATCTCAAACATCTTTAGAATCAGTATCGACGAATAGTAAAATCTTCTGAATAAAAATAAAAGAAATAGTAAGAAGAGATAATCAGACATCATAGAAGAGGAAATATATAAAGAAAGGGAAGATGAAGACAAGAGAAGAGAGAAGAAGCATATTGGACAGAGTATGAGAGAGTGAGAGATGGATACGTGGAGAAGAGTGAAGAGAATAACCTGGGGCAAATATAGCAAAGAAGAACCCTAGGGAGAAGAAGATGAACAGAGCGTATGATTTTTCACGTAGAAATTGTGTTTTGTTTTTACCTAGACTTATGGGTCCCACTTTTTCGCTAGTTTCGAAGTTTTTCCAAGGACATTTGTGGACATATTTTTTTATTCTCCTGCCCAACACCCTCTGTCTTGAACTCACGCCCACGTGGCATGTGCTGATTGGCCTGGAATACAAAATTTTAAATTTTTTAAATTTGAACTCCTTGTTTATATAGCTTGATAGAAACAAGAACCCTAAGTCCCCAAATTGTCTCACACCAATTCTCTCCAAATCCTCCATCTTTCTTCATGGAGTTAGGAAATCCAGAATGAGTGAGATGCGTCGATGCTTTTGTGGTGGGTTTGCTCGATTAGAAACCTCTTAGACCAAAGATAATCCAAGGAGAAGATTCTGTACATGTTGCCGCAAGGTAATTTCACTAATTTCTTTGTTATTTGGGTGTTAGGGCTTCAAATTGGAAGGATTTTTGAATTGGGCGATTATTTAAGTAATTTATCTCATGTTCAGCAAAAAGGGTGTGTGTATTTTGATTGGTTCAATCCTCAAATGTGTGTACAGTAAAAAATGATCATTCCTGGGTTGTTGAAGAGGATAGATAAGGTTGAAGGTGAACTGAGGAGGTCGTGCAGGAGAGAGAAGCTACTTTGGTTTTTCATCGTTATTGGCATCATTATTGCTATGCACTTAGCAAATACAAATGGACATAAAGGTTCAAGTGGAATGAAGACAGTACTGGAACTTGCTTGATGGTTTCTATTGGTTTTTGTAAGATCATTAACTGGTTGTAATGTTGGTTGTGAAACCATGGGTTGTAATGTTGCTTGATGGTTTATTTTGGTATGAATGTATGAAACTGTGGGTTTTACGAAATGGAAAATTGGCAAATTGACAAATCACATTCCTTTTGCAAATTAGCAAATCACATTCCTTTTGCAAATTGTCCAAAATAAGTGCATGACATCCAATATTTGATGGAGGTAATATTGTACAAAATAACTGATGATACAAAATAAGAGAAAAATAAGAGTTCGTTGATCTCAGATTGCTAACAAAATAAGAGTGCATTACATCAAAATAAGAATGCATTACATCAAGCATTTCATACCAAAATATCAAACAACCCAAGCTCTAATATAGTTTGTCCATAACCAAAATACAATCATACCAAAGTCAGACAACAACCTCTAATGTAGTTTCTCCATAATCAAAATACATTCATACCAAAGCTAAAAAAACCTCCAATATAGTTTGTCCATAACCCTAATTAATCATACACTCCACTTTGTGATTCTTAGACAGAAGCATAACTGTTGCATCTTGTATTGTTGCATTTAGCCCTCTTCCTCGTATATGGTTGCAAATTTATTTATTTGGTATGGTTGCATAATTTCTGTATCTTGTGTTGTTTGATGCATGACACTTTGATTAATGTGATAGTTGACCTTGAGGGGTTTGACGGTACTCTACTGGGCATTAGAATGCTCATACCCTTGATAAAGATCTTAGTGTGTATTTAACCACGAGCTACTGCGACTTTGATTTTGGTGTTGTTAAGTAAATTTGTATTATTTTGTGGCTCTATTTCTCATCATATCATGGTTGTAAGATTTTATTCTTATGACTATGGTATGACTCACACCATGATTCGGGAATATTCCTTATTTTTTAATCGGGTCGTGACAAATCGAGAGTGATCATTGGTGAATGCTATAAAACTCGAAAAGCCTCATTTTTTATTTAACCTCTACAGTTTTGTGACTATTTCCCTTTTTTCTTAGAAAAGAGATTCAAACATCTCACCATGATAAGATTCATAAGTAGGCAACAGAACTGCACCCAATGATCCAAAATATTTGCCACCTTGTAAGGACTAATTGTAATTTGCATTTGCCAACAGAGAGAATTGTATGGAGTAATACAATTCACATTCGATTTAGAAGAAATCAAAAGAGAATAAATGATTTTAAGGTTTGATCAAAGTCAAGGTCAAAGTCAAAAGTCAAAGTCAAAGGTCAAGGCATTGACCCAACACTTGACATGGTCAACTAAGGTTGACCGGGACCAACACTTGTTAGACAAGTAAGTGACTTAATTTGTTAAGCCATTAAACAAATTAAATTAATTAGATTAATATAATTATCCAATTAAAGTTATGGAACTTTAGTTAGAGTCCCATGTGACTTAGAAATTTATGAAAATTGACCTTATAGACTTAGGCAAGGTGTGACACATTATGGGATTAATGTGGTCAGGGGCGGTTCCAGCTGTGGGCTGGCTGGGCTCATGCCCGGCCCAAAATTTTGACAAAAAAAAAATAGAATGTAACTTGCCCGGCCCATTTCATTTCACTTACTCAGCATATGCAGCAGCCAACAAAACAAAGGGATCAGCTTCAACTTCTCGAGAAACAGAAACTCTCCTTGCGACTTGTCTGCAACTTCAACTTCAACTCTGCCTCCTCAACCTTCAGCTGCAGCCACCATCAATTCAACTCTCAACTTCTTTGCAGGAGCAACTTCTCTTCTTGGTAACAAGTATTCTTCTCTCATTCTCTCATTTTTAATTATCTTATACTCTTTAATTTGAATAGAAAATATTCTAGGGTTTAGGAATTTTGTTCTTTAATTTGATTTTAGGAATTTTGTTGAGATATTTAATTTGTTGTTGGTACTGTTGAGATGTTTAATTTGTTGTTGGTATTGTTGAGATGTTTGATTTGTATGTTGTGTTGGTATGTTTGATTAAATGCATTGATTAATTATGATAATTAATTTTGTTGTTGTTGACATGCTTGACTAAAATCATTTCTACATATTATTTATAGGTTATCTTTTATTATGTCGGATCACAATTGGAACCCCAAGAAAATAAAGAACTTGTTGTCTTTTTTTAAGAAAAAGAATGATGGGTCATCATCTAATATGATGCCTAGCACTTCTTTATCTACTCTAATTTGTGATGAGCAAAATCTTCCCGAGTCTCCCATTGTTGAGCCCCAAATTGAAAGAGTTGAGAGTCAAAGAGTCAATGATGATCAAGATTTTAATATCAATTATCTTGAACGTGATCCAGGATTACGTCGTCTAATATGCAACTATTCAGTGAATGAACAAGATAATGTGCGAAGAGCTTATATACTTTTAGGGCCATGTCAACCCGAGTTAGAAGATTATCCAAGCCACTTAGAAGGGAAAATCTTACGTCGATTTAATAAAAAGTGGTTTGGCCAATTCTCTTGGCTTGAGTATTCAGTTGCTAAGAACAAGGCATTTTGTTTTCCTTGTTTCCTGTTTGATAGAACTCAATCATTTCCGGCCTTTACTGTTGAAGGGTTTCAAAGTTGGAAGAGAATTGGTGGGAATCATTGTGCATTTCAACATCATGTAGGCAAATTAAATTCACCACATCATCTTTTTATGCAAAAGTGGATTAACTTAAAAAATCCATCTGTTCATATTGAAGAAGTGGTAGAAAAGCAATCAAATCAGCAAGTGATGGACAATCGGTTGCGACTTACAACCACAATAGAGGGTATTAGGTATCTAGCAAATCAAGGATTGGCTTTTCGAGGCCATGATGAATCCATTGGCTCATCTAACCGAGGCAATTTCGTTGAAATCATAAAGTGTTTTGCAAGAATGAATATGGAAGTTGAGAAAGTTGTCCTAGATAAGGCTCCTCAAAATGCTCAGTATATTTCTAATGACATACAAAAACAAATCTTGCATATTTTTGCTACCAAGGTGAGGAAGACAATTTGTAGAGAACTTGGGAAGAACAAATTTTGTATTCTTGTTGATGAATCGCTTGATGAATCAGGTAAAGAACAAATGGCTATTATTCTAAGATTTGTTGATGATCAAGGACTTATTCGTGAGCGTTTTTTTGACATTGTGAGTGTTGCAGACACTAATGCCTTGACTCTTAAAAAAGAAATATGCAAAGTGCTTGGTAATAACGACATTCTAGTGGAAAACATGCGTGGTCAAGGATATGATGGTGCTAGTAATATGCGTGGTTCATGGAATGGATTACAGGCATTGTTTCTTGCAGATTGTCCATATGCATATTATGTGCATTGTTTTGCTCATCGCTTGCAATTAGCATTAAATGGCTTAGCCAAAGATGTGAAAGTTGTATGGAGATTTTTTTTAATGCTGACTAACATTGTGAATTTTGTTAGTGCTTCTGCTAAGCGTCGTAATGAGTTAAACTTAATTCGAAAAAATGAACTCAAGGAGTTGTTGGATTCTGGGGAACTTGAAACAGGTAAAGGACTTAATCAAGCTCGTACTTTGAAACGAGCTGGAGCAACTCGTTGGGGATCTCATTTTGCCTCTATTACAAGTTTGATGAGTCTATTTAAAGAGACTAAATTACTTCTTTTGGAAATCAGTGATCATGGACCTAACCAACAGTTTCGTGGTGATGCAGAGAGTAACTATATTGCTATGATGTCTTTTGAGTTTGTGTTTTCATTGGTTTTGATGGAAAAAATTATGGGATTGACCAATTTTCTTTGTCAAGCATTTCAGACGAAAACTCAAGACATTGTAAGTGCTTTAAATTTTGTTGAGAACACAAAAATGCAACTTCAAGATATGAGGGAATATGGTTGGGATGATTTATTCATGAGTGTGGTATCATTTTGTGAGCTACATGGTGTTGATGTTCCTGATATGGGTGGTCGTTATATGATGGGTACACATCGTTCTTGCCAACAAAAAGATTTTATTACAATTGAGCATGCCTATCGCATTGATGTATTTAATGGTGTTATAGATTGCATGATGAGGGAGTTAAATGATAGATTTCCAGAGCAAACAGTTGAACTTCTTACCCTTAGCTCAGCATTGGATCCACGTAATTCTTTCATGTCATTCAATATTGAGCATATATGTAAACTTGCCAAGAAATTCTATCCTGCTGATTTCCTTCCTCAGGAGTTGAAAGCTTTAGAAGTACAGCTCAAGTATTTTCAAAATGATATAAAACGTCTTCCATGCTTTAAGCAAGTCACTACTCTTCCTCAGTTATGCTAACAATTGGTGGAATCAACTTTGGGGGAAAACTACTATTTGATTGACAGGTTGATTCGGTTGGTGTTGACTCTTCCTGTTTCTACAGCAACAACGGAACGAGCTTTCTCATGTATGAGAATTATCAAGAATCGACTTAGAAGCACCATATGTGATGAATTTCTTGCTGATTGTATGATCCTCCACATTGAAAGAGAGTTTGCCAATACTATTGACAATGCATCCATAATTGAGGAATTTAAGAGTTCTAAGCCTCGTAGGGTTAAATTTTAGATTTAAATAGTGTTGTTTTGTATTGCATTGCATTGCATTTACTTTTAGTTTTTGTACTTGTAGATATAGATGCATTTGAGGGTAAGGCTCATTATGTCCCCCCTCACTTTGTGTATCTTTTTATGTTTATTAATAAAATTCGCTCGTACCGTCGAGTTTATTGCCTAAGTTTTGCCCGGTCGACTTTCGAATCCTGGAGCCGCCACTGAATGTGGTGGACCAAGATAGCCCAAAAAGGACAATGAAAGGGAGGGTGAGGCACATGGGGTCTTTAGGGGTACATGTGTGACAATATTTCTCTATATATACATAGCCAATGCACCACAGTTCTTTAGGTTTCAAGTTGGTAAAATTAGAAGAGAGGAAACATCAAGCCTCTCCCTCAAACACCCCCTTGGCCGGACACTTGGAGAAGAAGAGGCTAGCACCCATCTTCTCTCCAAGCTTACTTATTCTCATGTTCTCATCCATCCTTGGTGAAGATTCTTTGGGGAGGTGCACCCTTTGTGTACCTATTTGGAGACAAGAGTGGAGAACCAAGAAGCAAGGGACATAACCCATTACTTGAATACCATCCTTGGTTTCCAGATACGCTCCAAGTGTATGATTTTCTTTTCCCTCTCTTAATAGTTGTCTTAGAGAGTTAATGGTGCCATGTTTCATAAACGTATAAAGATTGGGACTTAGGATGAGACTTGTATGAATTTCTAGGTAATTTCTTGCTTCCTCTTTCATATCGATTTCATATTAGATATACCATACTAGATGATTTATTCTCTCATAGTTTCTTGAGATTTTAGAAATTCCTACACCCAAAATACCCTTCAAGTGGTATCTAGAGCCAAGGTTTATGAAAAAGATGCACCCTTTTGAGTTTTAGATTGCATATGGGCTTAGTTTCATGGTTATAAGTGTTATAACATGTCTTACCTTTCATGTTTGTTCATATGTATTGATGATACTTGGAATTTTGGATGTTACATGAAAGAGGGATTTTCAAAAATGGCTTAAGGGGGTGGCGGCATGAGTGTGGTTTTGGGCTACGGGTTAACTCATGTGTATGTAATATACATTGTTGTGTTGGTCTTAAGATTCTAAACACAAATATGATTTTTCCAAGATTTTAGGATTTTATATGAATTTATGAGAGGTCATAAAAGAATAAGAATGTTATATGTGTTCTTGATATTTTCATGAAATGTTCTTGTTGATCCCCTAGAGATCTTGTCCTTTGATTCATGAAATTGTATATGATATGATTGTTACATGTTAGACAAAACGTCTGAAGGATATGCTCTATGCTTTGTATTAGTTTTCTAATTTTTGGTTGGACATCTTATTTGAACAAGTGTAATGTGCTCATTTTGATGTACAAAAATTACATTTTTGTAGATGTGATGTAGTGTTCTCCTTTTCTTTTTGTTATGTTATATGGCCGAGGTTACACTTTTGTACATGGGAATAATTCCACACTCCCTTTCCATTTTGTTGTACTGTTTGGCCAAAAGACTACTTTTGTACATGAGATTAAGTTTGTGCTCTTCCTTGATATGTTATTTGAAGAAGGATTAGTCAATTATAAATCCATTCATGCCAGTTACCTACGTTACATCAAAGAAAAAAAAACATATTTCTTCTTTGAGTTATTGATATCAAGAGAAAAAAAAAAAAAAAAAGCAAACTTCTTCTTTGAGTTATTAATATCATAAACAAAATTGTACATGAAACCAAATTTTATTAGAATCACTTCATTATAAATCAATAAAATGTCATTATTTGTAGCAATAAAATACATCACTTTGTCAAATATATATATATAAGAGAGGAAGGAGAAGGGATTGAACAAAGACAAGAATGACTTTGAATAGATGGAAGGTTTTTGCATAGGAGACGCAAGAGGGTTGACAAAAAAAAAAAAGAATGTAAAACATTAATGGACTTTGAGAAAAAAATAATAATTAGGAAGTAAAAGGGCTGGCACGGATGTAGAGATTGGATGAGAGAGAAACTTTACTTTTTGATTGATTTTTTTATATTAAAATATGTTTCTAAAAGTTTGTAAAGAAGATTGACAAGTGGCAATATCCTATTGGCTTGGGATAATGAGTTGGAAAACTAACCTGGCATCCCCGTGCCAGGAAAGTTTTTCTCCTCAGGAACCCACTTGGACCACACACACACTCACCCTCCCACCAATTTTCTTTTATGTGAGTGTGTCATTGTTAGCAGTTAAAACCCTAACAGACTTGAAATATGTAATATACTTGCGCCCCAATTGAACAAACGACTGTGATTTTGAGTGAGGAATATCTCGCAAGAAAGCTCTTTTTTATGTCTCAGACTAGTGAGGACTTCACAATTTATCTAGATAAAACTAGTAAGCAAAGTATAATACACGTATTTATGAAAATAAAACAAACGAGTTTAAGAAAAACTGCTTGAAATATAAAGCATAAAGAGAATTAGGATGAGACCTCAGAGCATTGGACTTTGTTTTCTGCCTGAAATACCATTGCAGAGATTTTTTTATCAAGCTGGACTGGACTGGATTGAAATTTTCTAGATTGGATTGGATTGAAAGTGGCTGGATTGGAAGTTTTTGAAGTAGAATTGCACGTCAGTACCTTCATCTAATAAAGATTAGCTGGAAATCAATACCAATGCTGTGATTGATAAAGCTTTAACTAATTATGGGCCATAGAAAGGCTGGAAAGTGAGTAGAATTGGAAGTAGACACCTGTTCTACTTGTCTGTGTGTGATCTAAGCTATCTTGATGAGCTTAAGACATTAAGATGTCTTTGAAAAATTTGTTGAGGTTTTCATATGATGAATAACTTGACTTCTGGCTGATTCACCTATGCTGAATTGAATTTGTAATGACAGAAATCTGAGTTCTGCTTGATTCTTCTGAGTTGAATCACATTAAGAGAAGTCTCATTTTCTTAAATTCCTTAAGAGTTGTAGGGGCTTTTTTCTTCCAGCAACTACAGAAAGGCATGGGCTACTGTAAAGAGCAAATGGGTGGAATTGCCCCTGTGTTTGAGTTCAAGAATCAGGCCCCAAGAGTGCTTCAAAAGGTTCGTGGAGCCTTAGATAGCACTTTGGTTTCTTTCAACAACAAAACAAACAACTACTTACAAATCAATATTTTGGCTTGGCTTGAGAAGCTTGTGGCATTGGAGCTGAGCATTCATGAGTTTAGCATTAGAAAGAGAAAGCTTGGATTTCCCATAAGAAACAGAGGTTCAAAGCAAGGGGATAAGGAGTTTTGAGAAGGTTTGTTGAGGGAAGAGAGGAAAAGATGAGGGTGGAAGGATGGGTGGTTTGAGTAAATTTCCAGCCGCTTGTCGAAAGATTCGTCGCGCTCTTGGATGGTTTGCCAGAAGAGAAAAAGGAAGAAGATAGGATAACAGAGCTTGAAATTGAAGAGTTCCAGCAGTGAGTGATGATGCTTGCTTGCTCTGGATGTGTTGCTTTGCTGGGCAGGAGATGCCCCCTTTTATAGGCGCTAGAAGCTCCTTCTTCCCAAGAAACCCTAGCTAGTTCTTCTCAAATCTGCCAAGTCTCCTCCTCCATTCCTCTTCTCTTCCTTTGATTCAACCCCTTTTTATGAAATCCCCTTAATCCAAACACACTGGGACAAGATTTTTTGGAGCTCTAGAGTCTTCCCGTAGCTGTCTATATGGCACCTTCCTATCTCTGGCAACACTCTCTCCTTCTTTCCTTCCTTATTTTCTAGCAAGAGTTGGTAGGGGAAAGAAGTGGATAAAGGTGCTGGTCTAAAGGGTGTTTTACTTCCAGTAGCCTGCACACGCGAATATCCTTTGGTCTTAAAGATGGTTTGTCTTGGATTTGGCTTTAGCCATGTGCTGGAGGTTTCCTAAGATATTTTTTCGGTTGTTGGGCCATTTCCTAAGGTGATGGGCCACTTTTACTAAGGTGATGGACAACTTTTTTCTCTTTCCTGCTTACCCATATATTTGGGATCAAGAAATGGGCTCGAGTTTTGGTGCTCCCAAGCATCCCAAAGCTTCCACTTCTTGGCTCATCAATGGGCCTCGTGAATGCTCGTAACCATCCATACCAAAACCTGCTCAGCAAGCCCCAGGCATTTGCATGGCTTGGGCCCACTTAAGCTTGTAGCGTAGCTTGGTGAAAAAATAAGGATTTATCGCTTAGTGTTGCATGTTATTTGGCGTGCTTGTGCTCAAGCTTTGCCGTATTGTAAAGGGCTATGGCCGGGCCAAAATTGCGCTTGACGGGATAATGAGCACGGGTTCACAGAACCAGTACATCTTACAGGCTTATTACGACCTTTCTATGTGGCGGGTTACGTATTTGCTTGGCATGCACGTGGACCATAACTCGTGCGAACGTGTACGATGAACTCTTGCGTACCCAAGTCGGGCTTCCTTCCTAGTTAGGTGTCATACTAGGCCAGAAATATATTTGGGCCCAGCCTTGGATTTTTTGGGCCTCAACAAGAGTCTGTATTGCTTCTTGGGGAAGATTGTTTGCTTCCTTTTGAGCTAGATTGCTATAAGATTGTGTGATCTTCAATTGTTTGATCAGTTTGGCTGATTGATTTTCAAGGATAGCTTTGGAGTTCCTTAACACCTTTGCTAGCTTTGCTTCTATATTTGAAGGCTAAAATGATTGTTTAAATCATTGAATTGATCAGTGAGACTGATTGGTTTTTGCATTTGATTTGTTTTGTTGGGGGGTTGGTTGTTGTCGTTGTTGTTGTTTTTCCAGTTCAAATACTCTTATATTTATAGGAGAATGTATGATGACGACTCCTAGATATTTGAAGAATAACAACTGGAAAGTATTACTCCACTGATCACTAACGGATAAGCGATAAGGAAGTAATAATTCTCTTGATTTGGACTGATCTTCTACGATGCTAAAAATAACAAAGATCAACAACCAGCTATGGTGATTAGTTTTGGCTCTTTGTCAATTAATTCCCTGAAATGTCTCCTGTCCGTTCATTGTAAACTGGATTGTAATGAACAAAATATCAATATACCCAAAATTCTCCATCATTGAATCCATGATTATCCTGCTAATCAAGCCACGTATGTACCAATAGTAATAAAATAGCCTGTATTTTGGAAGCAAATAGTGTTAGAGTTTGTATAGGAAAATACACTTGCATTTAGTCCCACATTGGAAGGGAGTTGTTTCCTTCCATGGTTTATAAGCACCAACACTTTAGAAATACTAAATATGGTATGATGCCTTGTTGATTTAATCAATAATTTATTTTTTATTAATTAGAAATTCGTTTTTCAGATAAAATCAAAATCTGAAATTCGAATATGTTAAACAGTTAATATAACTATTGGATGAAGAGGTGCCCTCTATATATTGACAATTCGTCCAAACCGGAAAATACAATTTTTGAACAGCATTATCATTCTCACACATAAGCACTTCCTAAGAGAAATCATATCACTGCTCGCCTGTGGCTTTGATTTGTGATAGTTTAATTCTGGTGGACAGACTCCTATCAAACTACAAGCACAAGGGTAGAGGAGAAATACTGTCTAAAGAACACTGCAACTTTGCAGGACTCTATCATCAATCCAAGTCAGTATTTTGTATTTTATTCTACTGTTGTATTGATTTGATTATATATATATATAAAGCATATTTCATTTTGTTAGTATTCTGTTATTTGGTTTTATACTGACTGTTCTTCAACAAATAGCTATGACTTTTGGGTTAGTCACTAACAGTGGTGGTTCACTCTAATAAACTTTAATAGCCAACAATATGTCTAGTTTGGGAAAGTACCTGAGGAACTAATCACTATGATTAAGAATCTGAGCAGATCATAAACTTCTAGTGAAGTGAGGAATAGCTCCGTGAAGTGGTCAAACTAGATTGACCAACTCTCTCCAAGGTAAGAAAGTCCCTGGAAGAAACAGGGATGAGAACCTGCTAGTTGCTGCTTTGTGTTTTTGGAACTCTTCCACAAACACTTTCGACTTCCGTGTTGGTCCTATGTCTCCAACGCCAATTTTTATTTATTTTACTGGAGGAACAACTTGATTGTATCTAAGTTCCTTACTTCTAACAATTGCATGCTTTTTTAATCTTAAGCCTCCTTACTCTCTGCGACTTGCAGTTTTAAAATTCCTTCTATGATTATCCAAAAAGGGAAAATTGTAGTTTCCATAATTTCCTAAATTATATATACAACAAGATATCCAAACACTGAAATTTCTATGATTATCCAAAAAGGGAAAATTGTAATTTCCATAATTTCCTAAATTCTATATACAAGATATCCAAACACTGAAATTTGGAATTGACGTAATTATACAAATTCTATGAAAATTAGAATTCCTTCATCCAAACGCACCATTATTCTTTCACAAATGCCGAATATGAAATACAGAAGCAGCAAGATGACTTCGATGAATAGGAAAGCCAATGGCACATACGTGATGAAGAATTGGTAGACCTTAGTACTTGCCCTGGTTTTTCAGATTTAAGCATGCGTGGAGCGTAGAGCTTCCAATAAGTTTCAAAGTAGTGAAGAAAATGATTTTATTTAAGCTCGAGAAATCACATAATACATGGGATCACCTAATCTTACAATTGTTACAGAAAACCATACCCCGGTGGCGAGCCGTCATAAATATCAGTCCAGATTATTCGAATTTGGCTCGCCTCCAGTTTTGTGAGTGTAATTACAAGACCCCGGCATGAGAAAAGAGAATGAACTCTCTGAATCCTCAAATGGGGGTCGAGGGAACTCATGAAACCCATCAAAATTACATGTTTCGAAATTCAATGGTGAGAAATAACTAGTAGGATCGTTGATACTTTCTTTCACATCCATGAGACTTTGAACCACACCAACCCCACCAGGAGCAGTGGAGCTAAAACTGAAGTTTATATTTCCAACTCTGTTTGATGCTTCACTGCCTTCCCCATGGTCAGCTGGCCCTTGAGTTCCTTTCGTTTCATCAAGGGGTATGGCAGGAGTGTGGCCTTGAAAAAGGGCAATATGCCCAAAAAGCTTGTCTTTCCTTGAGAAGGTAGTGCCACAAGAACAAAGCCACTTGTCCTTACCACAATGCTTCTCATGAGTTTTAAGATCTGCGATAACAGAGAACTTCTTGGTGTTGCATCTGCTGCAAGTGTAACTTTTGTCACAGTGAGTTCTCTTGTAGTGATTTTTGACACATAAAATAGTCTTCAATGGCTGAAACTTTTTGTGATCCTTGTTCCGCTTGCAGCCAGCATAAGGGCAGGAATACCTTTTGATAAGGGTTGGTTCAGAGCTAGATTCTTTGTTGGGCTTCGCAAGTGCTGCTGGGGTTTTGTACTCATCTCCATGACCTCTCATGTGCATCCTTAAATTTGCATCCCTCTTGAATCCCTTTCCGCATATTGCACAGAAGTGAGTGTGAGGTGCAAGGATTTCTTCTTTCTCTAACTGTAAAATTTCATAGCTGCCAGGTGGAAGGTTCTCACCTTCATCAGCATCTTCTTCGTCTTTTGATTCATGTTCTTCAATGCTGTAGTTTTGCTCAGTCCCATAATTACTGATTAGATCAGTGTGGTTGGATTGATCAGCTAATTTGCTTCCATTACTATTTTGCAGCTTCACAGAAGCATCATTTCCTACTCCAGAAGGAACAAATGACCCACCAAGCTGCCCAAACTGTCCAATAGAAGGTGTCGTGGTGGAAAGTGTATGCTTCACGGATGGTAGAAGACTACCTGCAGTAGAGATCAACTGAGCAATAATTGAAGTCAGATCAGCGGTTATGAGCTGCTGTTGCTGAGCCACAAGTTCATCTGGTCGTCCTAGAACTTGACCTCTCCGGCCGACAATCAAATGCACTAAATCCTGGAGCTGGTGGATCTTTTGTTCCAAGAAAGTGAGATTGTTCAACATTGTTCTTGGATCCCAATCTTGACTTTTATTGGCCTGGGGTGTCTCACACATCCGACCATCTTCTCGATCTGCCATTTTTGTATCATTATTGGAGTTGCAAGGAAGGGATGTTTGAGTTTCAGAAGGCTGGTTGAATTCCTGGAAGGATGGTTCAATCCCGATGCCACCATAATCTAAAATAGAGGGATCTTCCCACTTCTGTTGATGGAGCTGTGGTTTGAAATTGGCAAAAGTAGGACAATCTGCGGAAATCTCATTTGTTAAATCATTCCCAGAGGAAGGATTTGCCCAGGCATCTGCACATAACTTTTCTTTATGATCCATTTTCCAAATTAAATGCGCACCTGATGTATCAAAACCCAACACCAATCCAGCTGAAATTAATAAGGATTAAGAAAATAGTGGACCTAATTCAAAGAAAATACAAACTAAAACGAAATATATAATCAGCGAATGGTATCAATAATCCAATTAAGATCTAGCTGCCTTCTGATCTCATGTCGAGTTCGAGAGAAAAAATAACAATAAAATTTATTCATTATCTTCATCACATACATGCAACCAAAACTCTCAACTAATACCCATTAGATTCCACAAAATATTATTCTTCGAATTACAAATTATTACTAAGAATACTGACAAACTTTTTTTAAAAAAATTTACTCAGGAACAGCAACCCCAAAAGGTTATTACAATTGCAAGAGAACCATTGACTGTCCTCATACACTAACAATTCTCAAAATCATTCCCTACCTACCTTCCATTTACATATGAACTTAAGTTTCCAAATATAATATATTGATTACTTGCTATTTGTGCAGATGCAATAACTTTCATGACACAATTAAAGAGCAATTAAAGATCCCAAAATCTCATTTCAACATGGCATAAGCTGAAATCTTTTCACTAAACCTAAATAACCAATCTTCTCTAGTTCTAACTTCTATTGGGTAATCCAAAATCTCACAAAAAATCATTCATAATTTCCAAAAGCAGAAACCATTTCAGTGGAAGAACAGATAAGATGTATAAAATAATAAAATAAACTCATCAGAAAGTTGAAGAGAACTTGAAGCCCAATACAGATAAAGCTCAATCTTTGGCATAAATTATATATAAAAGAACCCTATAAATTGAAAGCAAGAAAAATTACCAGATTGAAAGCTGCAGAGATGCTCTTTTTTCTTCCTCTCAGTTGGCTGTTACATACTTCTACTGAAAGAAAGAGAATGGAAAAAGAAAGAGAAATGCAGCTCAATCGCAATCTCTGTTACAAAAGCTATTTCGTCAACCCCATCAATCCGACCGTCCGATTTCTGGGCCCCACCTTATCATTTTGTTAGACCTTTAATCGTCACCGTTGGTGGGTTCCTCTCGGCTGCGGCCAGATTGATTAGTTTTGTTACGGTGCAGCTTTCGTGTACATGGACCCGCCCATGGGTTAAGACAATTTGACTAGAAAAAGACGAAATTTGAAGTCTGATTGGAGATGGTAAGGGCCCCACATAAGTCTTTTCTTTGTTGTTTGTGAGATGCAGTTGCCAATTTGACTTGGTTTAGTTTAGTGGGTTTTATTGACCAGAAAATAAGAGAAAAAAATGGATAAAATATTTTTTAATTTCAATTTTAAGGATAAAAGGGTGAGTGAACTGGTGGCGGTTTAATTAGGAGGAAGCTTTCAGGAAAATTGGTCTTTACATGCAGTGTTTCTAGGAAGGTGGTAAGAATGTAACACGTCTCCAATCCCCATGGTTATAGAATCGTAGCTGACTACGATATGTATTACCTGTCCAGATGGAGGGTTTATTGCTCGGTTCTATACAGATATATACTCTTTATTAAGGTCTAAAATATCGATAGTTTTTGAAATATCAATAGTCCAAAAACACGAAAATTTGGATGGAAATATCGGAATATTATCGATATCGATAAAAATTGAATAAAAACCACGAAAAATTGTAAGAAAAACTTGGAAATTTTTCTTGAAACTTTGGAGAATGTTTATTTAGTCAATTATCTATTACTTTATCACAAAAAATTGAAAGGAAATACATTGCATGATGCGTTTAACTAATTTAAGTTGATTATATAGTGAGCTAACAAACACCGTGAGTGTAGAAAATATATAGTAATTAATGAAAGAAGATTAACCACACCATAATTATTTATTTATAATGATTTACTACAATATTTTACACTTTATACATTGCATGATAAGATACATAAGTGACTTAATACCACATAGAGTTCCTATAAGGTTCAAATTTGAGTTTATTGCTCGGTTTTATTCTGTATATAGGTATATACTCTTTACTAATGGCAAGGGTACTAAAATAAATAAGAAATCAAGAATTTGATTTTCTCTCACCGATTCATGACTTTTCCATTCCAAATAAATAAACATGTTATTGGTGGTCACAATCCATGAATTAGTCAGTAGACTTAGAGAATAGTTTCCATCCATCATTCAAAATGAAAATGATTCATGAATTTTCAGCTTCAAGTGAATAAACATGTCATTGTTGGTTACAATCAATTAATTAGAGCATCCACAATGATGCTCTCTATTTCTTAACTAAAATTTAGCTAAAAATATAAGAAAGCTATTTTAGGAGCTCTCTAAAAAATTTCAACTCCAACCATACTCCCTAATTTGAAGAGTCATAAATGCTATAACTCTTTTTTTATTGGTCCATCTCTATTAAAAAAAAAATAGTTAACATTAAATAAAAGTTTGAAATACTCATTAAATAAAGCTGCATTAAATTATAGTGAGTCACCAGGAGTCCTTTCTCTCTCCTCAGATTTAAGAGCTCCTAGAGAACTCCCTATTTTAGGAGGTGGATAGGGAGCATAGTTGGAGTTGCATTTTTATAATTCCTCCCTAAAATTTGTCTAAGGAGGTGGTTTAGAGAGTCCATTGTGGATGCTCTTAGTCAATAGAATTAGATATTACTGGCCAACTATCATTCATAATGATAGATTTTCCATTCTAAGGAGTTGTTTGATAAATATTTCATCGTCGGTATTTGAGACCTCTCGATTTGGACCCAGTTGTCCGATTCTTGTGTTCAACTACAGACCCAATCCAAGTCTCGGCTATCCAAAATTTACAAAAACAACATCCTAACTCCAAAAAATTCACCAAAAAATACTACAAACTCTTTGTATCATGCACTTTCATTCTCTAATCTCAAATTCACAATCTAAACCCGAAAAAATTCCATTTCCAAGTTCCACATTAAATTGAAAACTGAAATCAGTTACCAAACAACTTTTTAAAAAAATTTAGTTTTTTTGAAAACTAAAATTGATTACCAAACAAATTTTCTTTTTTTAATTTCTTAAAAATGAAAACTAAAAACTGAAATGGTTATCAAATGGGCCCTAAGATTCTTGTAATTTTACACAAATCAATCTCCCATGCTTCTTTCTTCCTATCATCATTTATGCTATTATTAATAAAACGTTTTTTATCAACTAGAGACTAGCGTATGTTTTAAGAGCATCCGTAATGGGCTCCTTAAACCACCTCCTTAGACAAATTTTAGGAAGGAATTGAAAAAATAAAACTTCAATTGTACTCTCCAAAAATAAGGAGACTTCTAGGGGATCCTAAATATGAGGAGAGAGAAAAGACTTATAGAGGCTCCAAGGGCGGTGCTATGCCCAGCTAGCCCAGCCCAAATTTTTCAACAAAAAAAAACTACATGTGTTATAAGCCCATTCCAAAATTTAAAAAAATTAAAAGCAAACCCTACTCATATGTTACTCATCTAGGTGGTCCCATATCTTCTCTCTCCTTCTCTTCTGGCTATTAGACTTCTTGTTTCTCTCTCTCTCTTTGCTACCTGACAACAGCAAGTTTCTCCCTCTCTTTTTTTTGGGTCAAATTCTCCCTCTATTGGCTACATCTTCTATTATATTGGGTGGGCAACTTGGCAACAACATCTTCTCATCTCCTTTTGTCAATAAGTATTGTTCTCATTCTCTCCTTTGCTATATATCTTTAATTATAGTTTTAATTTAAAATTGAGTATTCTAAGGTTTAATTAGGGATTAATTATAATTTTGGGATTTTGTTCAAATTAATTAGGGTGGTATCATTTTGTGAACAACATGGTGTTGATGTTCCTGATATGGGTGCTCGTTATATGACGGGCACATGTTGTTCTTGTCAACAAAAAGATGTTATTACAATTGAGCATGCCTATCGCGTTGATGTATTTAAAGATGTTATAAATTGCATGTTGAGGGAGTTAAATGACAGATTTCCGGAGCAAACAGTTGAACTTCTTACCCTTAGCTCATCATTGGATCCTCGTAATTCCTTCAAGTCATTCAATATTGAGCATATATATGTAAACTTGCCGAGAAATTCTATCCTGCTAATTTCCTTCCACATAAGTTGAAAGCTTTAGAAACAGAGCTTAGGTATTTTCAAAATAATATACATCGCCTTCCTTGCTTTAAGAAAACCACTACTCTTCCTCAATTATGTCAATAATTGGTGGAAACAACTTTGGCAAAAAAACTACATTTTCCTTGACAGATTGATTCGGTTAGTGTTGACTCTTCCTGTTTCTACAACAACAACAGAACGAGCTTTCTCATGTATGAGAATTATTAAGAATTGACTTTGAAGCACCATAGCTGATGAATTTCTTTCTGATTGTATGATCCTCCGCATTGAAAGAGAGTTTGCTAATAACATCGATACTGCATCGATAATTTAAGAGTTTGCTAAGAGTTCCAAGCCTCGCATGGTTAAATTTTAGATTTAAATAGTATTGCTTTATATTGCATTGCATTTACTTTTGGTTTTAGTTTTAGCTTTTGTATTTGTTGAACTTATATTTATGGATAGAGATGCATTTGAGGGTAAGGCTCATTATGTCCCCCCTGACTAAGTGTATCTTTTTATGTTTATTAATGAAATTCACTTGTACCGTCGAGTTTAGTATGTAAGTTTTGCCCAACTAGCTTTTGAATCCTAGAACCGCCACTGAGTGGCTCCCTATAATTTTATGATGCTTTATTTTATGCATATTTTAAACTTTTAATTAATGTTAACTATTTTTTAATATTATTTTGTATAGAGATGGACCAATTATATTGAATTAAAAATAATTATAGTATTTATGACTCCCTAAACTAAGAAGTAGGATTGGAGTTCAAATTTTATAGAGAGCTCCTAAAATAGATTTTGTGTGTTTTTAGCTAAATTTTAACTAAAAAATAAGGAGCTTGATTGCGGATGCAGTATTAAAAAAAAAAATTATATATAAGGGGCTTTAGCTCAAGTGTATGTTATCATCACCTATTATCGCTTGTATATAAAACAAAATTAAAAACTATACATTTCTCAGCTTTTTGCCTAATATTAGAAAGAAAATAAATAAATAAAACAAGCTAGTAAGTTAATACGGCGCTAAACGCTCATTTTGGTCCACTATACAATGTATCCCATGACTCAAATTGTTCATTTCTTGGTTCCTAATTGAAAGATCATCCCTACAAAATTTACTAAAATTGAAAAGTGTTTAGTTGCCTAACTATCTTATATAAATTAGGTAGTGAAAATATTTTTGATAGCCAATGAAATGTTTACAATAATAATCAAATGGCTAAATGATTTTACATTTGGGTGAGTTCACTACTTTTTTAAAAAGAAACCAATATGCATGAGTCTTGGTGCCCACAAAAGGGGCTTCTATTGACACTTTTGGTGCCCAATATACTAAAAAGCACCCCTGTAATATATTGAGCACCAAAAGTGCCAACACAAACCCCTTTTTGTGGGCACCAATACCGATTCCAATTGCTATTTTTTTTAGTAGTGATTTTCTGCAAGGATGACTTATTAATGAGAACCTTAAAAATGAACTTTTCGGATCCAATTTGCTTTATCAATGAGATATGTTACTGGATGGAAGAAGGGCCTAGTTGGCTTCACTCTTACTTTCAGAATGATTTGCGTTCTGTACATTCTATTGATGAATAAAGTAATTGGCCTTTGGCCTTTAATCAATCAAAAAAAAAAAAAAAAGGATTATGAGATCATATTGTGAACTAGGCCCAAACTAGTCGTTATTGTAGTATTAACTAGTGCTCGAACACTCATGTATATCAGTAGCACTCAAATGCTAACCAGTTAGTAAGTTAATATGACACTAATTATATGTTTGCGAATCATGATTATATATCCCCGTTTTCATGTTGTTCCATTTTTTTAAGGAAAAAATGTAGTCAATTACCACATACCTACAGTC